GTACGTAAAATGTAAAATGAATTGAGCGCTCATATATTTTTGCGATAATCTCGAAAAGTTATCGAGTTACCGTACATACATATATAATGCAACATAATATCAAATATGACGACGACCGACATATTACATTCGATTCCCTTCCTTCGGCGATGCGAAACAATGTGTAGAAATTGGTAAAAAAAATTCTGAATTTGTTCCGCTCGGAAAGCTGGTTTTCACATTCGAGCGCGGCGACTTGTAACTCGGCGCGGCGCTGAAAGTATTATAATATCGGCCATACCGTGCTCCACATTCGTGATTTCGAGTGTGTTGACTTAAGCGCTGTGTACACTCGAAATATTACATGCACGTCTATCAAGAGGCGCTCCGTAGAGCGCCGCTCGCCATCTTCCGTCCCTATGTAATTACACATCCAACTTTGGGATAACTACCGCCTAGTTCTCCGAATCGTTTGCTCTCCTTCATTTCGTCCCGAACCTACTCTCCTATGTTCAATTCCCTATCTCTTCCTCTCTTTTCTCCTTCCTCAAATATAAAAAGCGTTAGTTTTCCCTTAACGCGTGACCACTCTCTTTCTCTCTTTCTCTCTTTCTCTCTCTCTCTCTCTCTCTCTCTCTCTCTCTCTCTCTGCCTCTCTCTTTCTCTCTCAGAACTCGAACGTCGTCGTTCATTTCGCACTTCGAGTCGCCGCGTTTTTCTTACTTGTAACAGCACACGGACAATAGCATCCTCGTTTTTCCACGCGTGTAAATTAATCCTAATTTCGCTGCGGAAACGGTTCGTTTATTTGGAGCGCGGTGTGATTTACGGACAGTATCTCGTATACACATGCAAATCCGGAAATTATTACCCGTGTAAGGGATTCTCCTCGCCCTTTTGCTCGGTCTAGCGGCAAATTCTACTGAATTACGAACAACGCACAGCGAGCTGACGTGGCCGTAACATTACGACTTCATTCGCAGGCTCATCTTTGGAATGATGTTATCATTCTCGCAATAATCCTCCGGTGAGAGGTGGATTTTCGGAAGCGAGAGAGAAAGACAGATTAGAGACAGGAAGATAATAGGAAGAGCGAGAGAGAGAGAGAAAGAGAGAGAGAGAGATTAGATTAGATTCGTTATTTATATTGTTATTTATTTATATACACTCAGGGAAATGTACCAGCTAGAATTCTAAATATTACACTTAAATTACATCGCTGTTTTTTGCATCTGTTGAAAAATTGTCTGCTATACGTAGAATTTATAGCAGCAATATTCTAAAAATATATACAAAAAAATATAGGTCTCATAACCAAATATAATTGGAGTCTGGATTGGAGTCTGGACTGATTAAACGTCATAGAGGAATTTTCTTACTAAATTTGACAAATAGTTCAGATATAATTTCTGTCTCTATTATCTATATTGATTAAATACAAAACATATGTGGTATCGCAGTGCTTACTAATTACTTATCCGTTTTTGCTAATTTTTTGTATCTAAATAATTCTCGCTATAATTGCAAGATTATTTTTTTCAGTGTATATTAGAGAGAGAGAGAGAGAGAGAGAT